TGCCTAGTAGACATGCAGATAATGATAATGTCACAGTAAACACTTTGACACTAAACACAGACAAGAGACAATGAAGGTCTAAAAGATCATAGATGGTAGACAGCTGTACAAAATCACACAAGAATCCATCTTGCCAGACTTCAATCTACGTATGTACTTGTGTACTACTAGAACTACTAGCAGCTACAGCATGAACTACAGCTGTTCTGTATCACTAGGTGCGTGTGACGACATGTGTGAGAAGTGACTGTTTGCTCAAAAACAACAATGGGGCTGCTAAAGAGATTAGCATAGATGCTGCTAGCATCAGTTCTGGAGAGCATTTCTTTATTGAAAGAAGAGCAAATAATAACACCTTTCTCCTGAAAATAACTGATTATTTTATTTGTTAAATGAATAAAAAATTACTTTTTTCAATTAAAGAAACACAAAGTTATGTAACAAAAACATAGTGTCCACAGTTTTCACTTTGTTGTTCTTTGCTCTGATTGGTTGGCCACGGGCTGTCTTCCTGAGCCATAGATGATCCAAAAGGCCCATCTGGCAGCCTGCTCAGGGTGCTGATTAGTCATGGACTCGCCCCCCTGCACCCTGCCCACTCCCCACCCTCCCTTGGGTGTCTGTACATGCCACCTACATACAAGCTGTGCACATGGCAACCTCCTATGAGAAGCCTTTGGCCCCTGTCTCGAATAATGTGAAGCAGGGATTAAGTTCAGGGCCTGAATTAATTAAAAGTCAGTCCTTTACCAAGATGATGTATGAGCTGGGAGTGTGTGAGTACTAGTTTGCAGGCACATCCGCGCTGAAGTGGAACACAACTATATTTACATTTTCTCCTTTTATTTTCAGCTTCTATAGGCAGGGTTCCTACAGGATGTGTGGGAAGTATAAAAAGATTATTTGGCAAATTCAAGGTCATGCAAAATTCCACAAACCGACACAATAAAACTCAACCAAACCAAACTCCTGAAACTCAATAGATAATCCAAAACCAATTCAGCTCATGCTATACACTTCATACCACTGTATTTAATTTAATTTAATTTAATTTTCATTACAAACATTTTATGTTCAGGTGTGCCTCTACAGCAAGGGTCAACAAGGAAGTTTGGCCTCAGGGCAGTTTATAGGGCCTCAGGGCAGTTTATATAGGCAGAACATAATCAAAGGATAATTCAAGAAATTGATGAAAAATTTAACTGGATTTGCATGTTACAGACTGTTACAGTATGTTTTTGTAAACGTGTTGTCATCTCCTCCACACTTCTTTATTAGTAATTATTTACAGAGAATAATAATATCAATAAAATTGGCAGTAGGGGTCAAGCAGGACCATGGCAGCAGGCACCACCAGGATCCATGAGAAACTACATGAAAGAAAGAACAAAAACTCTGGGAAAGAAGTGAAGATATTAACATGCATTAATGGGACATGAATGTGTGTAGATAGAGAAGGAGAGGATGAGAGGAGCTCAATGCATCATGGGAAGTGTTATTCTCTGTAAATTATTGTATAAGGAGTACGGTCTAGACCTGCTCTATTTGAAAAGTGTCCTGAGATA